ACATCTTGGTATTTAGGAGATCCAATATATTTAATAATATGACGTCTTAAATTATTAATACTTGAAATAGCTTTACATGTACACAATTTTTCACAATCATTGCATTTCCGTGTATCCACCCCATCAAGTACTAGACTAATCTTTTCACAATAATTTCATACCTTAGAGGTATTAGGCTTAATTTTCTTAGCATTCTCAGTATCTTGGTCTTGGTCATTAATAATCATACTCTTACTTTCATTACCAATAGCAATAATAAAATGATTGGTAGCAACAATATGCTCTCTTTGTGTTAGATGGAGTTTTCATTGTATCTAAATCATCCCCCATGCTATAAAAAATGTCATCGACATTCATGAATGCAATATTTAAAATTAAACAAGTTTACTCATTTAATTCATAATTTCCACAATGAGATATAAAGCAACAAGCCATGAGATCTTCATTTTCTTCGACAAATGGAACAAAGATGACAAGAGCAACGAAACTCTCATAATGACTAACCATAACATTAAACTTTTTTTAACTATAACTCTGTAAGCAAACACAAATTAAAAGAGTGAAAAACTATTTCTACTATTATATTTTATTATATTATTTTATAACACATTACAAATTTATAAATTGATAATGATTATTGTTCATATATTATTTCATTTATTAATTTAACAAGTCGATCTATAAGCCTATAAGTTAATTTGACTTGGACCCATTTGACATGTCGAATTGAGTAGACCAAATCAAAATGACATAATTCTATTTAAGTCATTTTTTTAAGGTGTAGTTTGACTTTATTTGTAGCTTGGTTGAACTAGTTCATTGAGTCATATTTAAATTGGCAACTCTAAACATTCACATAACAACTCATATTTAGGTACAACCAATCAACGAATTACACATTTTAAACCAAAATAAAAACAAAATATCAAGTTGGAAAATAGCAAAAACCTAATGATAAACTTAAAAAAAGAAACGTACGTCATTACCTCCATATTAAGCACAATCTGGTATTGGACAGCTTAATCAAAAACGTCCCTCCCGGCTTTTTTAATCAAACGTACCCTCCATCCTAACGCACATAGATGTATATATGCATACATATTTGTCTTAATTAATGATTCATCCATTGTAGTGTTACATCCTTTGCAGTGAACATCGATTATGTTGATTGTGTTGTATTATGTCGTGGCTTTGACGTTAGGTGCATTCTTTGGAGTGCTGAAATGGAACAGAATAAGGTACTCAAAGAAAGGAATGCCTCCTGGATCATTGGGTTTGCCTTTCATTGGCGAGACTCTCAACTTTCTCAAATACGGTCCAGATTTCATGAAAGGACGCAAATCAAGGTACGTACCATGCATTCTTGTATAAGATTTTAAAATTTATGGTACATAATAGTTTGTAATCGAATGATATTATAAAATTACTTTATATGGTTAGTATATGACATATTTTTCTTTTAAATTTTATTTTATTTATAAAATGTTAGGCTTCCCAAATATATTTGTTGAATTGTTTTATTCTCCTTTGATGATTCCTTCTTTTTTACGCCATTAAAATAGTTTGGCAGCGATTTTTATTTTTGAATAATTTCTGGACACAATTTCAAGTGTTAATGTGAAAAATGGTGAAAGAATTTTAAGGCAACCAAAACAAAAATCATTTTGTTATTTCCTCCGCTTTCGTTAGGCATAGTAATTCATGGTTATTACTTTACGAGTAAGCGAAGGCACCATATATTTATTCTTGAAGAATTCTAAGAGAAAATAATTATAAATAAAAATTTAAGATTTTAAAATAAGTAACCATATTAATTTTTTTATTGTGAAAAAATGCTTATTGTATATTATAGGTTAACTTATATTTTTATACTTTATCTTGTTTTTATATTTATTTTTATATTTTATTTTAAAATATTCATTTTAATTTTTTATCTTTTAAATTTGGATCAATTTAATATTATTCAAATAATAATATTCTTTTAGTTTTACAAAATGATTTTAAATTACTTTTTTATTGAGGTGAAATTCATCTAGTGGATATCTATTTTTTCTTAATTCGACAAATAAAGTCTTAGATCAAATTGAATACTGTTCAATTTTAACTAATCACTAAATAAATAGTAAACCACTAGGGTTAGCCTAATGGTTGGGTAGGGAGGGGTTGGGGTAGTTAGAAGCATGAGGATCTAAATTCAATTTTCATTGCGGCCATCTTTGTAATCTTTCCTATCTTTACCAAAAGAATATATAATAAAATTTGGTTTGAGGATTTCCAGCATATTATTCTCTGTTCAATAGTCTTGAAAGTGTCATTCCCTTTCTATCATTTTTATCTATAAAAAAAAACATAAAAACTAGTTTTCATTAGATATGTGAAAAGTAAAAAAGAAAATGAAAATGAAAACATTAAGATGATCTGAGATGACTTTTATAGAGAATAAAATAAAGCACTAAGTATGGTTTTTATACTTCTTTTGCAGATATGGAAATCTTTTCAAAACTCACGCATTAGGCTCGCCTATGGTTGTTAGCATGGATCCTAATGTGAATAGATACATACTCACACGACTAACGACTTGTTTGTAACTGTCATCCACTAAGGCCGTTGGATTATGATTAGTTTGGTAAAGGGTTGCTGTTTTTAACAGTGCCGTTCATCGAACTTGGTGCACCGTACGCTACCTAGTCAACGGTCCACACGATTAGACCCCCTACTCTACCTCATCTAGGGGCAGTTTCGTAATCTTGGTTCCCTTTTACTAGCACTACTCATTTGTTTTGTTTTTTACTGGTTAGTAAAAGGGGAAAGATATTTTCATTATTTTGTTTCGGTGTTTTTGAACTTGTTTGTTTAACTTTTCGAGATGGTACAGTGGCACGTGACATGTGCCCAGAACTTGTCAACTGCTAGCTGGCATGGGTGTCACGGTCCCAGCACGTGCCTATGGATCATAATGTTTTCTTCTTTTTTTTTCCTTTCATTTTTTTTTACTGGGAAGCGTGAATTCAGAAGGAATGCAAATCATAAATGTTCAAAAGTCCTCTGCGACACATGAAGGGTCGACATAGAAATCTGTAAAGCATTGTAGTGACAAAATGAGAAAAAGACGGTTTTGTTAAGAGTATCGCTAAAATCCTATTTTGGTCTCTTATAATCTTTTTTTATTTTAATGTAGTCTTACTTTTATTTTTTGTCTCAATTTAGTCCCAAATTAATCAATTAGTTTCAATTTAGTCCCAAATTAATTAATTAGTTTTAATCTGGGACTTCCGTCTAAATTATTTAAACGAAGTTAACTTTTGGGCACGTGGATGCCACGTAGATACATACGTGGATGCCACATGGATGACATTTTTTTTGAAAACACCTGGACCCATAACGGCCCGTTCTAAAACCAGAACGGGCCGTTCTGGCTGCACTCTTCGTGTGTTAATTTTGCAACTGAAACGGGCCGTTCTAGATGCGAAAATTAACACACTACCAGTGCAGAAGAACGGGCCGTTCTGGATTCAGAACGGTCCGTTCCAAAACTGAGAATAAAGTATTCTTAGCTTAATTGTGTTTTTGATTGCTCAAGTATTATAATTATGCAATTTTGATCCCTAAGATTTTAATTGAGTAATTTCAGTCCTTAAAAGAATTTAGTTGTGTAAGTTTAGTCTTTCTCATTAAAAATTTAATAATTTTAAAATTTTAATATATATATAATGTTTTAAAACCATATAATTGTTTGCTTATTTAAATTACTGTATATTATAATTTTTTTTAATATATCAAATGATATATATTTATTATTAATTTTTAATGGGAGAAACTAAAATCGTACTATTATGATATTTGAGGGACTAAAATTGTTCAATTAAAAATTGAAGGACCAAAATCGCGAATTGCAATTCTTTAAGGACTAAAATTACCCAATTAAAATCTTGTGGATCAAAACTGCACAATTGTAATACTTGAGGGATAAAAAATACAAATAAACCAATATTCTTTATTAATTTTATTAAAAAATATAATAATTTTGAAAAATATTTTTTTATAGTAAAAATTTTAAAATTACTTATTTTTATAAAATACAATTGTCTTATAAATAGAGTAATAATTTTTTCTTTTTCTCTTTCTGTTTGAAGAAATATTTAAGTATCACTTTATAATTTTTTGCAACTTATTTAAAATTAGAGGAATAAAATGATAAAAATTAATAAGATAAACATAATAAAATAAAATATAAAACTTTCCCTAGGTGGGATCCCCACCAAATTCTCATTGAGAACAAAATTCGAATGCTCAAATAATGAAACTGAATACGAAGCATTGATTACTGAGCTAAAATTACTTAAAGACTTTGATGGAGTCCCTCCTTCCATGGTTGATGATTGTAATTTGAAGGGAGACACCTTGCCCTTGATCTAGGCTCACCAAAGGTTGGACAAAAAGAGGTTTATGGTCAGTCTTTTCATTCACTACTTTGTGACTAGATACAGGTATTGCTTTAATATAAATGGTTTTTCCTTTTTCTATAATTTTATATCATAGTTTTTAAATGTTGAATAAAGTTATAAGTTTAAAATTCATTTAGAATAATGATATTCAAATCAAAGGATTGCCCAAGTTGTTATTAAGAAGGCCTCTTAATGTATAATCTTGGTCATAATTGGGGGTGACTAAATAAACTGTGAAATAGTTCAATTTTAATTAATTGTGATCTCTTTTGTGTGTCTCTCAACTTGACTCAATTGGTTAGATAAGATCATTGCAAGGGTTCAACACCCCTTGATTAAACATTTTTTTTCTTATTTTCATGTATCATTTCCCTCCCATTTTCGGATCCTTGAAAGTGATCTTTTTAGCACTCTTTTTATGTATCATTTTTATCTTTTTTATTTTTGGATCCTTGAAAGTGATAAATCTGATACTCCTTTTAGTGTTCAATTAAATTTATAATCTTAATTTGGATAGTTTTCCTCTTAACTAAAAGTATATCTTTTTCTTTTCAGGTGGGAGGAAGCAAAGGGAAACAAAAAGCTTGCAAAATTCCCGAGAGTGTTGGCACCAGATGGATTACGCATAAAGATCACAAAGTACTAGAAAAAAGATATTGATCTTTCATAAATGTTTGATCAATACTATGTCATGAACTTTTACAATAGAAACTTTAACAATAAAATACGAGTGTTGAAATGGTATCTATTAACTAGATATGAACCTCCAGAATGTGAACCTACGGTAAATAAGTGTAACTATTTCAATTGTATTATGAATATTTAATGGTATTTACTATTTATATTTCATCTTAATATTATTATATTATTTATCATTATTTAATTATAATTTTTGTTTATAAATACGTTATCGTTACTACTAAAATTTCTCTTATTGCATTCAATTTTTTATGTGAATTTTGTATAAAAATTCGCAGCAAACGTTGTTCCTATAAAATTTTCATTTTTTACGAAATTTTATCTTTAGGTAAAACTTTTGCGGATAATATGTTTTTGCGAATTTTAAAATTCGAAAGAAATTTGCAAGAAAGTTTCCTATGAATTTTTTTACCAGAAATTCTAAAGAACGGAGGTAATTTTTTTACAATTTCTATTAATAATTTTTTAACTTTCAAATGCTTATAATGATAGATAACCTCTTAAACTCTTAGGTTGTAAATTATAGGTCTAACACTCAACTATACAAAATCAACTTATAAGGTGAGTGTTGTCCCAACTTATATATTTCTTAATTTTTTTATTTCTAATCGATGTGAGACTTAAGAAAAATCTTTTAATTCTTAAACTTATAAATTTATATATATATATATATATATATATATATATATTTACTATAGATTAAAATTAGCAGGAAAATCTGCAATAAAAAAGTTACCTATGAAATTTTTCTACCATTTAGTTAAAATTACTTGGGGATTTATTTTAACAAGAAAATCCATAAGAAACAAGATAAAATTTTTACAATATTTTCTATAAATTTTTATCGTGAAAAAAAATTTCTATGATCATTAAAATTGTAACAAAATTTGCAAAAAAAAAAAAAAAAAAAAACCTTTGTAAATTTTTTTTATAAAAAAACTTGTAAGAAACTTTTGTAAATTATTTTTTGCAAATAAATTTGCAAAAAAAAAATTGTAAAATTATTATTGCTAGAAAATTTGCAAAAAAAAAAATTGCGAATATTTTTTTGTAGGAAAATTCATAGGAAAATGACACATTTCTAGTAGTGACATGTTATTAAAAATAAGATAAGAAATTCTTTATTTTGTTCCTTATGTTGTTCTTTCTCTCTATATTGCTTCTACATTACAATTTACAACTTTATGTTGATTTACAACACGTTATTAATATACTAGGTTTTTCTTCATTGGTATTGCAACTTGTAAGACAAAGTTGTAAAAAATTTATTGAAGAAAGTCTACTTAGACTATACCTAGACTTACTTCACACAAGAGGAGGGACCCGTTTACTTTAGGATTAAGTCTACTTAGACTTATTTCATTCAATAACTCATGTTCTATTTAAATTTCAATGATCCAACCGTTGAAATTAAAGTTCTTAATACATAGATCAAGTCTGCAAATTTTAAAAAAATTTGAAAATTATTTGATACTTTATTTCATTAATTTAAATTAACAGATAATCGTAAAATTATTTTATACATTGAATTAAATTAATGAAACGAAATATTAAATGATTTTTAAATATTTATTGAGTCGATTATATATTTTGTCTATTTGGATACTAATTTCTGATATGTTGTGGTCTGCATATTTGGATTCTGATTGGGAATTTGCCTTAATGAGTTGATCATGTATAATGCTTAAATTTTATAAGTCAGTCATGTGCTAATTGCAGGTTACAAGCTATAACTTGTCGAACCAAAAAATCTCATTGAATTTGGGCTTTTAGAATGAATAATCTATACAAAGTTTTATAGGTGAAGATTAAATCATGATTGCAATCAAAAGAAAAAAATCAGATCATGATTGAATTGGATTAAAACACTCAAATGTAATTTGTGCTAAAATATTTTTAAATGAGTTTGAATTAAGCTGATCGTAGTTTTAATACGGTTCGTAGACTATAGTTGGTTGGTCAAAAAGTTCAATTTCAACAAATTCTTAAAATGAAGTTCAAGCCCGCTGAAAGTTTAAAATAAGGTTAAAAATTTTATAATTCATGAGTTTGGGTCAGCTAGTTCTGACTATAGTAATTCAAATTTAATTCGAGCTTTTAAATTAATGTTTGACTTAGTTTATATGGGTTTTTGTAGATTAAGACCACATTGAGACATGGTCAAAGCAAGTTAAATAGACTCGAATTAAATTTGTTTCCACAATTTAAAGCCCAAAAATACATTTTATCAAGTGGGTTCAAATCAGGTGTATACTGAACTCAATGCAGGCCATACGTTATAGCATGTGAGGCTGAAAAAACAAAAACAAAAAGGCAGATGATAAACACACCTCCACTCTTATATAAACACACCCTCTTTTTAAAAAAAAAATATATAAAATATCTAAATTACCCTTAAAAAAAAATTTAAAATTTACACTTCCTTTCCCGCACCCCCTTCCCCTCACCCCCAAACTTCCTGACCTCAAGCTTTCAGGTGACACTCTCCTAGCGAAACCCAAACGACAAAATCGGAATCTACTCCGACCGTCTGAACGCCTACGTGACCTACCGGAAACAGCAGGTGACGTACCGCACCCCCATCCCTCCCTCCTACCAGGGTCACAAGGAAGAGGACGTGTGGTCCCCCTTCGTCTACGGCACCAACGTCCCCGCCTACAACTTACTCGGCCTCAGCCAGGACCAGACCAACGGCAACGTCCCCGTCGTTGTTAAGATTGACGGCAAGGTACGATGGAAGTGGGGTGTGGGTGTGGGGTGCGGAGAAAGGAGGTATAAATTTAGAAATTTTATTTTTTTTAAAGATAATTTAGACATTTTATATTTTTTTTTTTAAAAAGAAGGTGCGTTTATACGAGAGTGGAGGTATGTTTATCATCTACCAAACAAAAAACCAAACCATATTCAATTCAAGTTTATAAAATGAGGTCCAAACCCATTAAGAATTTCGTTAATTAGTATAGGTGTTTTGAGGCTAAGTCCAAATCAAGATATAATCAGATCAAGTTAAAAAGTTTTAATTCACGTTTAAAATTTGAATCCAAATCATAAATTTTATTGGACTGAGTAAGTCAAAGACTAAACAGGAAAGTAAATAAAGGAGAAGAAATTAAAATACCGAAAAGTGCAAATCAACTTCTAAAATCCCAAAACTATAACAAGAAAACTCTTTTTTTTTTTTATTTATTATTATTTCCAAAAAGCAAGATAAAATGATTTTAAATTCATTTTTCAACCTCATTTTGTTCAAACAAGTTTTGTTTTCAAATTTAATTTTAGAAACTAAAACCTTAAAACTTACGACCCCTCCAAAACAAGTCTTAAAGTAATTTTTATTGTAGGGAATTGTTAGGATAAGACTGATATAGTTTTTAAAAAAGTTAGTTGAATTGTTTTGTGTCTATATATATATATATATAGCTTAGACTCTTTTTCTTTTGTATCAACTTTTTTTTAATAATACAATTGAAGAAGTTTTTTTCTCCTCACTCTATTCTCTCAGAAGGAGAATTATTTTTTTACATGGTATCAATTAGGCCACGATCCTAGGTCTTTCTAATGACTTTCGCAGAAACTCCGTTTCACCCTCATATCTTGTCCAATGCGATTTCATTCAAATTAACGGATGATAATTTTCTCACCTGGATGCAACATGCAGAAGCGAAGATCAAGGGTTTTTGCTTGCAAAAACACATTGGCGGAGTGAAATCAATTCCTGCAAAATTCTTGACTACAAATGATGAATTGAAGGGCTTGGTGAATGTTGCATTCAAAAATTATGAGCAACAAGACAATCTATTAAAATCTTGGTTGCTTGAACTATGGATCCACAATTTAAGATCCGTATGGTTGGATGCGTGTGGTCGCATCAGATCTGGCATGCTTTGAAGGTGTATTTTGTATCTCAGACGAGAGCGCGTGTCAAGCAAAAAAAAAATTCAACTTTGCAATGTCAAGAAAAGTGGATCAATCGCCGAGTATCTCATATAGGTGAAACAAATTGTCAAGACCCTAGCTACAATTGGATCGCTGTTATCAGTTGAAGATCACATAGACACAATCTTTGATGGTCTTGGCAAAGAATATGATGGATTCATCACTTCGTGTATCACATGTACTGAAGCATACATTGTTGCAGAGATTGAAGCTCTATTGATGCATCAAGAAGAACGGCTTGAGAGGCATAAGCAACATGAGTTGTCCACTCTTCAAGCAAATTTTGCTTAGAATTAACATAAGAAAGGTAATCTTGTGATCAATCGCGGGCGAGGACGTGGTTAGAATCGTGGAAGAGGCAGATCTGGCCGCTCGAATCAAAATAGCTTTGGGGGAGGTCGTGGACAACAAATTCAATGTCAATTGTGTGGCAAATTAGGACATTTTGTCTATAATTGTTGGTCTCATTTTGTTGAAAATCTACCAGATCTGAAGTCTACTAAGAACAACACATTTGATGCTATTATACAAGAACCTGTCAAACAAGCTATGATAACAACCTCCGCAACTCAATCTTCTCTAGATGACACATGGTACCCAGATACAGGTGCAAAAAATCATTTTACTAATGATTTATCTAATCTAATGATCAAAACTCCTTATATAGGATTAGAGAAGGTAGTAGTTGGTAATGGTAATTGCCTAAGTATTCATAATACTGGCACTTATAAACTCAAAAATCCTTCCAATAACATTGCTTTTACTCTTAATAAGTTGTTACATGTGCCTGATGTCACTAAAAATCTACTAAGTGTTGCTAAATTTGACAAAGAAAACTCATGTTTCTTTGAATTTCATTTCACTGACTGTTTTGTTAAATCCCAGGGCTCTCGGAAGCTTCTGCTACAAGGGAAGCTTAAAGATGGTCTATATGCTTTTGAGAATCTGCAAATTGTTCATCCTAATAATGATTTTCCTATTTCAGCTTTATATTCCTCTACCACATGTAATAGTTTACAAATTTGGCACTTTAGGCTAGGCCATTGTGCAAACAAAATTGTTAAGCATGTCTTAAATCAGTGTAATATCAATAAATGACAATGCTTTTGTTTGTGGTTCTTGTTGCTTAGGCAAAATGCATAAATCTCCATTTTCTATTTTTGAAACTG